GCTCCTTGGTTAGCGCTCATGCTGAGACGCATCTAGAGACTTGTTAGTCCGAGTGGCAGTTTCACAAATAACGAATGAATAAATAATTAAAAATAATGAAACACTGTGTCATTTAACAGAGAAGCAGGTTATTCATCACACTGCAGAGCTACACCTCAGACCTCCCCTGGCCAGCTCTCTGAACTATAGCATTTGGAGGTAAAACTGAAGTGAAAGAGCCAAAGCTTGTCGCACATTTGCACGGCTACAGTTACAGCAGGTCAGGAGATGCAGGATTATACTGTATATAGCTGAAGCAGGAAGTGGAATCTTTACAACAGACTGTGGGATTTGGATAATCTAGGATTTGGGTAGAAGAGGTCTCATCACCGACTTCTTCTATGAAATGCTGCTGCGTTCCCAGGCCTCAACGATGAATATACTATATCATGTATAAGTGAAGGAACTAAAATAAGATCCAGTACTAAAATATTCATCCTTTAAGTGCAATGTTTTTACTCAGTGTTTCTGCTCTTATCTGTGTGATGTTTTTACACTTCACAGTGAATGGTTCATCTGTACTGCTGTACTTTCCACAGCAATGTCTGTGCAGATTCTCAGTCATCCAGGTCATAGTAAACTGAAAAAACTTAGAAAAAAGTCAACTGGACCTCGAGCTAGAAATCTAAGTCCACTTGATTTTTTCTACAGCAATATTTTCGGGTCATGTTTACTGCTCTGCTCTTCTGCTGTTTATGCCAAACTGCTGTTGCTTCTTCTGGCAATGTAAACATGTCTGTTTTTGTTCCACAGAGAACCTTTCCAAGGAAAGCCAAACCTGCCCCTCATCAGTGTGTAACCAAACAAACTATGTTGTCAGTAACCGGGTCAAGTCTAGGTGCCCAAATGGCTTCAGGGTAGAGACCATGAACCTGGTTTAAGTCCAGCTGGGGACCTTTGGTGGATCGACTGATCGTTTGGCCGATGACTCAGGCCGATATTAGCACTTTTAGATAATTGATCATGAAGCTGAGTAACATAAAATGTCTGAAGACACATCTGCAGGCAGCTTTATCTGTTTTTTTATTCTACAAAGTTTCTTTCTTTATTTATTTTTTACTACTTTTGAACATTTTTTAGTTTAAAACAACAAGGGGAGTGCAGAGTATAGCAAATACAATGATCATTTTTTTATCTTAAAATATTTGCAATAATTGTAATAATACAAATGATTATATTTCCATAATTCATTAGTGTTAAATAAGTGTTCATTTAAGCTCAGCAAATGTTTGTTGGTTATTATGAAATAGTTGTATTTTTTGTGAAACAAAAGAAAAACAACAACATGATTATCATTATATATATCAGTCTCCCCACTCTAAAAAGTTCTCAAGTTGTAAAAAGAATGAAACTACTAGTAATACTGACATTTACAGAACATTTTCACAACTTCTAAACCGAATGGGAAGCGTCTATGTATGGATCTGGGTCACAAAATAGATTCTCTCTAATTTCTACAGTGAAACATGACAATCCTATTAATCCAGCAGCTCTAATATGTCTTGTGTCACTACATGGTGGGCAGAAGGGCTTACAGCCGCAGGCAGATATATCTGACACCTCGAGTATGAGGAATTCGGCACAGAGCTTGAATCAGCTGTCAGACATCACACCTAATGACTGTACAGTTACAATCCATGCTCTGTACTCTCTTATCTTACACACACACACACCACAAAAGCACTGTGGACTCTACCATGAGCCCAGATACCCTCCTCAGATTTCCCGTTCAGAAATCCATCCGAGGGAAATCAGTACTGATGCACTGAGCTGGGAGCTGACAGCCGACCTCCTGACAAGCTCAGGTTAAAGTGAAAGGAGCAGTGACGCAGCTGGACATTTACCACATCACAGGAGAGAGGCACGAGACACTGAACAGGAGGCGAAACGTCAGCTTGTCAAGGTGAAAATGAAATAAAATACCAGGTTTTAACTACACTACTACATTTCACATAGATTTATGGCAGGAGTCGCATAAAAATTATATCGCGGCTCTTTTGTAGCATCTAGTGGCAGCTGACAACAGCTCTTTAAAAGAAAATCTCAAGCTGACACAATATTTCAGAGATGTGGCTTCATGTCAGAGCAGCATCTACCCACACGTCTGTAACTGTCCTCAGTGGGAAGAAGCCGCAGTTCTCACGCTGCACGTTAAAGCTAAAGTTAGCAGGTCTTACAGTCGACCACATAAACAGACCCAGCGAGAGGAGGCACAGTAAGAATAATGCTGGATGTTAGCCACACTGCAGGTTGTTTATCTGTCCAACAAATGAAGCCAATGTACAATTCTGTACTGTGTGGGCATTTAATTTCCTAGTCTGATTCTCCCTTCTTTAAAAAGGAAACTCCACCAGATTTACAGGTCTAAGACAGTCAGCAGGTCCTGGGGAGTTGGTTGCTACCTTCAAGGTAAATATTCTTTATCTCACACTGAATTTATCTGTTTTTAAAATCTAATGATTTTATGACTTATCCATTTTAATTTGCTGCCCTGTATGAATCATCTTGTAACGAGTAACAAGACATTTGAATAGGGCTTTGTAAATATAGATTATAACTTTTACATCATTATGCGGGTACAGAGAAAATGCAGGTTGATTTCTGAAGGCTGTGGTGGAAATGGCAACAACAAATTGCATGTTTGAGGAGAACTCCACAGTGAGAGGTTGTTCCACCTCCTGCTTGTCACAGACAAGGTTAACTCAGTGACGGACATGAGAGACAAGGAGGAGAGACCGAGGTGGAAATATTACACAAGATCAAAGTATCAAGCTTCTCCTCACTCAACTCTATGAGATTATCATGAGAATTACAAGGCACAGATGTTAGTCATGTTTGTGCTGCAGGACCACGGTGCACACAGATACTAAAAGGCACCGGCATGATGCCGAAGAGGAGGAGCCGCCGGGGTGTGAGAGGAAAAGCATCACAAAACTAACAAACCCTAAAATAAAATGTGGCATCAGTTCATTTCTGTCAAACCTCATTGTGATTTCAGTTTAAATAATAAGAATGTGTTTGATTGTTTGAATTTCAAATACTATGTAAAAATGACACGACAATGTCCTTCCCAGATCAACAAACGCTACCGGCGGAAGTCTCAAATTGCATTTTGGTCTGTTGAAAGGGTCGATGGCCATTAGTATGTTTCAACCATCTGTGAATCTCGTCTCATTCACGTGCTCAGATGCACAGTGTCGGCTGTATTGATCTCAGGATTTCGCCTGAAGTTCAGCACGAGTCAGGGCAGCATGTTGAACAAAAAGCCACAAACGTACTCTGTTTTATGTTGAGAACACCTCTGTTTTTGTCTGGATAGTAGATAAAATGTAAAAATGTAAATTTCTTTCACACAGAAAAATGTGTGCAAACTCAGCACACACAGTGCTTCAGGTTTGATGTATCAGATACTGTATGTTCTCGACAGTTCTTTTAACTGTGGTACCTCATATGGAGACTCACACACACACACACACACACACACACACACACCTGCCTAATCTTGTCCCTACACAAAACCGTTGGAAAGTAAAAATGAAACGCAGTGAACACTGTGGAAATGTTAACCACCTACAGGTCTGACACAGAAGCTTCATCTCAGCATCTACAGTCCATTTTGGCAGTTTACAGTTTGAAAACCTACCTCAGACAAACAGTAGTTTGTCTGAAGCCATTTTTAACTGAAGGTCAATGCTCAATAACACCTTTAAAAACCTCGCTCAGCACAGTGTGGTGGCTACTGTGGTCATTCCTGTGTGTAGGTTTTGAACTAGTAACAATAAACAGGACCTACTACGGGTTTTGAAGCTTGAGAGAGGCTCGTTGATGTCTGGGATTTTTTTTTTTTTGGAATGTTGACTTTCCCGTTTGTCTGGTTATTATAACCAAAGTGATCTTGTTACAGTATTTACATATAGTATAAAGCAGCATGTAGTAAGCACGGTATATAAGACACTAAAGAAGAGTAAAGTTGACTTGGAACCAGCTGAGACCTGTTCAAAGCTACTGGTGTAGTGCCTCGGTGTTGTAAAGTTTGCAGGTCATAAAAATGAGTCAGTGGAGTTGGGGAATGTGCCATGTTTACAAATGGCACTGGCTGAGTTATTTCAGTGGTTTAACCTGAACGATGCTAAAAGAACTCAACGAGAAAACCCAGAGAAAAGTCATCAGTTTTACCAGCAGCACATAATCCTGTTAGTACTGCAGTAAAAGGCTGAAAGATGATCCACAAGGAGGTTTATGCAAATATGTGTGTTACTATTCTCTCACACACTTCCGTTCACAGACATGTTAACTCACACATGCTAATATGAACGTGCCTGATAAGATGCAGACGGAAAACAGGGTCTCACACACACACACATAGTGGTAAAATGTGATACCAACAATTACATTAGGGTCATGTAGTTTACATCCACACCACTGATCTCAGGATACAACTGTTCCTTGCTGATTATTCTGCATATTCTTTATTTAGATTAACAACTTAGGCTGATTGTTGCAGCCATAAAAGATCAGAAAATACTGAAAAATGGACCAGAACTGACTTGAACTTTACCTGACCACCAGTCCAAAACCCAAAGATCTTTGAATGACTATCATCCAGCATATGATAAACAAACAAACACAGGCTAACTTGAACAAAGTGAAGCATTCAGCGGCTTATGAGCCAGATATTTCCCTCAGGAGCTGGTAGAGACCAAAAACAGAGCTAAAAAAAAGGAGTGCAGATTAGACATGCATTCATCATAAACATGACACCAAATGGATGATAATACCATTAATGTCGCTGTGTGACTGCTGGATGTGTAAACAATCTGCAGTTTGCCAACAAGTTCACGTCAGTGTAGTGCTCACAGGTTGTTTTGGTTGCCCCCATGTAGCCGAAGAGCCAGTTACTGCTGGTTTAAAGGTACATGAACAAGCCGAGGGTGGTGGGGAGTAAGTGTGTTGAACGGTACCTGAAGCAGACGGTGTGCCAGTCACTGTTGAGGGCCTGGAGGTACTGCTCATCATAGATCCTCTGTTTGCATCCCGCACACACAGGCAAACTTCCTCCAGCTGTAACAACAGTACAGTACTTTTGAGTGTGACCAGAACAAAGCACAAGCTTAGGGGTGATCGTGCCTTTACGGCTGCTGCTCCCAAATTATGGAATGATTTACCACTGCCTATCAGACAAGCCTCTTCTTTGCCTGTTTTTAAGTCCCTTTTAAAAACTCATTTATTCTCGGTGGCATTTTGATATTGTATATTGGTGTTGATTGTATTTGTAAGTTGTGTTTATTTTTAATGTATATTCTTATTTACACTGTACAGCACTTTGGTCGACCCTGGTTGTTTTTAGTGCTTTATAAATAAAGTTGGAATGGAATACAGTGACTCATGTTATAGCTCAGTTGATAACAGTTTGATCAGATGTAATAATCAGTGTGTGTTAGCATGTGAGCGTCACCGCTGTCCTTATTCCACATAAATCACCAGCGCTGGTTATCGATCTAAACAAACCCACAGTGTCTCTGAAATCCTACATGCAAACGTTCGGGGATTTCCCTAGAGAAAGGCACGCCTGGGATTTGAACCCAAGCACAGCGGTTTACTAAGCCACACCAGCAAGACAGCAGACACTTTTTTTTGGTTTGTTTTAAGGCTGAACCAATCCATTTGGGAACAGAACGCAGGAACAAGATTTGAGTGTCACTGGAAGAAAAGATGGAATAATTTATTTTGCAATGCATTAAAGGGAGAGCAGCAACGAGTGTCTCGAGGAAGGACTAGGTGGCTGCAAACTGCAAACATTAGATTCTAGTACTAACAGTAGATACCACTGTTGCTGCAGTTCATTTGCCTAAGAACACAACACCTTTCAAATCCTGAGCACTTTGTCACACAAGACTTGCAGTGAGTCCAAGCTGTCAGCTTTTCAACACACAGCGGATATTGTTAACTTGCATGTGTAGGAATCATAGATTATGTTGCTATGACAACGCAATTACCAACAGGGGACACTGCAAAGTTGTGCAAGATGATTATTGACAATACATCTGTGTTTCTGCAACTAAATGGGAAGAATCAATCACATACTATATGAACAGCACAAGGCCGGGATACAGCAGTGCAGGATCTCAGTGTAAAAACGACTTTAATCTGTCCACGCTCTGCCTACTGCAACAAAACATCTGGATATCGGTGCCAGTGTATTGATGAAGAGCGTTGCAGCTTCCAGTCCCTCTATGTAAGCCTAATGGTAGAGGTTTTGTGTGGTCAGCTTGTTTCTGTACTGTCTGAGTGAAGAGCCCTGCTGTAGTAGTTTTATTGATCAGATTGGCTAAGAGGCAGAGCTGGGTCATGTTAATGCCTCTTCCTTCCTTTCACCTCTTTATTAATTAATATTTTTCAACTTGTCTCTTTATTATGAAGCATTTTTCTCCCTGATAGTTGTTTCCTCTTGACCTCTCCTGTCTGAAAGAAGACACATACCTCATGGCCAACACACATGCACTGTTTAACCAGCACAGGTGTAGGAATATGTGCCCCACCCCTCCTCATTCCAGATAACTCAGTAATGCAAAGTGAGTCATCACGTAAAAGGTCTATTGTTAGGTTCAGTGAAACTGACTGGTGCAGCCACACTGTGCAGTTTCTCATGAACTATACATAACATCACTCTTAATGCAGAAATGAACCAAAATATTAATGGTGCGGCACAGCAGTTCCCAGTTCAACAAAAAGCTCATCTCTAAATAACTGTGTGACCTTTTGTTGGCTTTCCTCTGCATCTCATGACCCCTCAAATTAAATTTATCTCCATGTTCGGGAGATATCGACCCCTGGCTGGGAAGCACTGTCCCAGAGGATCTTCTCTATTCTTTTTTTATCTAATTAAACTGCTGTTATCACATTGTGATTTTAGTAACTCTCCACTGTTCATGCGCAAAGAGAGTTTGGGGAGATTTTAATATCCAACAATCAAAATGCCCCTATTATACTGTTAATGTAAGTTCAACTTTGTTCGACTTTCATATCTTGGACAAGGCTGTAACTTTAAAAAAGGGTGTATTTTTGCATAAATCATCCCAGACAGGCCTCATTTGACTTTATCAGTGTAACAACCTGTTCATAAGCAGAGTGTCTGCTTGCAAATGAAGAGAGTGAGGGTGAGCACTACATAGGTCTACAAACATGATGGGAGAGAAAACATGGCTTCAGTTGCTGCACAATAAGGACACCCAGCCTGACGCTCCCTGCACATACATCAGTGCTACATCATCAGCTATTTATTACTGACAATAACGACACCAAAACTGAAAAAATATCGCAATGCATTTTTGTCAGGGGGCCGTTTTAGGTGGAGCGTCCTCTGTGTTTTGAGCAGCAAAGGATGCGGCGCTGTCTCTGCACCTCCCGCCCCGCCGCCGCATGCAGCCAGCGGCTACAAACGCCCCGCAGCTCCTCACCTTCCTCCTCTCCCATGCGTTCGTCCTTCCAGGTGCAGCAGAGCAGCATCAACCTCATTCACTTTCCGACACTGAGCTCCGGGAGAGAGCCAGCCGCCTATGGTCGACAGATAACCGGTGCCCGACCACCACCGCAGCCCGCCCGGCGTCCTGTTGCTGTGCGTCGGTCGCTCCCACACAGCTTCCTCCTGTCCGCACGTTTCTGCGGCGCTTCATTCAAGAGAGCTTTGGACCAATGAAGGTGCTGAGCCAGGGAGAGGACGATACGAGCCAGCCAACCAGAAACACTGCCTGGTTAATAAATACATTTCTCCGGAGGAGGGGTCAAGAAGACGGTGCAGTAAACCCCACTGATTACAGATGAACTGACATTCATATTTGTTGAAACGTGAAATGCTGGAGTGCGCACTGTAAGCAACTAAAAGAGTCAGCTGAAGTGTAAAATCTTTCAGTGCAGGCCAGCTAAACATGTAACATATTAAACAAATAGACTATGGAGTACAGAATGAATTATATGGCCAAGTATGTTTACACACACGGAATTTGTTTCCCGTACAGAACCGATGGCTTTAACCATCGGGGGGATTCAGTGTCTTGCCCAAGGACACTTCGACTGCCGGTACCGAGACTCGAACCTCCAACCTTGGGGTTGGAATACGACTGCTCCACCCACCGCACCACGGTCGCCCGAAGTAAACAACTCTTGATAACACAGTGTCCCAGGACACAATGGCCCCAAAAGTCTCTGATGGTAACTTCATTCTGGACCAGATGTTTTGTCTTGAACTGAAATATTATTCTGATTAGGCTAAATTGGGTGTGTCATTTTGTTTAAATACACTCTGTATACCAGCACAGGAACATATTTAAGCATTAATCTGCAGTTCAGCGGTAAACTCGGGTATTTTTGGGACATTGTAATCTTAAAGCATCCGCTGAGGACACAACAGTGTGACTTACTTTTACAGGATGTGGATCAGGGGTCAGTGCCTCTCCCAGGACACCTCCAGTGCACAGCGGCATGGGTTTATTATTTCCACCTGGCACAACAGGAACAGTGTGTGTAGTCACCACACTGGGGCACTGGCAAATGGCTGGCCATAATCTGGGGTTTGTTTTCATTTCAAAGATGAACTCTTTCATATCATATACATACCAGCTCTTACATTGCACTAAATCTGGTGGTCCCTAGTGAATTTTGCCCAGTGGGGGAGACAAAAAAGATCTGGCAGAACCAAGATGCCCCTGCACTCCCAAGCAGTCAGGCCTGCTACCAGACTATTATCTCTATGTGATACTGTATGTGGCTTCCAGTAAACGGACCCAGCAGGGCACTGCAGACCAGCTCTATGGACACGATGCTGCTGCTTTGCAGTGAACTAAGACAGAGAAATACCACACAGGGAGACCTGCGTTCTTTAAACATGTTTATTTTGTTATTTATTAAAGCCAATAAAATGCCAGGATATCTGGGAAAAAGTCACATGTGTCTCGTGGAAATATAAAAAGTGCAAAACCACACTGTTCCTCCATGTAAAACAGTTTTAAATAAAGATGAAGAGTATCCCACGGCACAGAAGACCAGGTCTGCCCCAGCGAGGCTCAGCTCTTACAAAAGATCGGGTGACAGAACTGAGGCCAGCTAACATCAAATTAGTACAAAATACAGTACACAATTACAGAAAGAGATGGAGTCACTTGGAGAAAGCGCTCATGAACCTCTGGTTAACCTCTGGTTAAAGCTATGACTCAAAGCGTGGTGCAAACAAACTTGAATAATCATGTAATAACCATTTGGCCATAAATGTAAATAACTGCTACAATAAGGCTAAACATTTGAAGCAGACTAAAGCATGCTATCCGAGAATTTAGGACAGCGACGCTTCAGTAAACATCCATACATACATCACGTATAAGGCAGAGTAGCATTTGAATGATATTTTAATTCACTTCTCATGGTTCTTAAACATCCTGTAATGAATCTAATGCTTTTTGTTTGTCTTCAGTATACTGTTCTTCAGAGCAAACATTGCTCTTCATACATCACAAGTTTGACAACATTAAAAATGCTGAGAAAACTGAACTACGTAGCATCTAGAATCAGCAAAGTCGCTGAGAGCAGATGGGTTGGCCGGAGCCCCGATTCCCGCTGCTTTCTACCCAACAGGCCTAAAAATAGCAGCAGAGGAGATGGGGGAGCCAGAACCAATGCTGGGATTGGTGAGATTTCATCAGTTTAAGGGCAAACCCTGACCAAACCCACTGGAGAGGTGGCAAGCTCTGCGCAGCGAAGTGTGACAGTGTGGGCTGTGACACTGAGGACAGGTCTCCATGCTTTAGAAAAGATATCATTTATAGGTCACATTGGGAGCTGACAGGTCAGACAGTCTTTTGCACAACAGTACAACCACATACCCAAACAACCCACACACAACACACACACACACTGCAACACAAGCACCTTCTTTGTATTTTAAGTAGGGTGGTACAGTACGGGGAATTAAAGCTGATTAACTTGACCATATAAATGATTAAAGGCACACTATCAATAACATACGTCAGAATGTGCACAAAATTCTGGGTCGGTGGGTTGTGTAAAACAGACACTGAAGTCAAGTAAAAAAAACATCTTTACATGTGTTTTCTAATGGGGGTTTGTTTGCATATAAAATGTACATTCTAGATAATGCAGTAGCACCATGGTTTCTTGAGATCACACTGGATCTCAGATCCTTTACTTCCTCCTCCCACAGTATTTGCCCTGGCATCCTGCAACTCCACCTGCAGCAGAGACCATCAGAACTACAGTTTAAATACCCAGTGTTTTGAATACTGTAGCAGGATTCTGTCTCTATGTCTTTACCTCCATAGAATCCTCCTACTCCTCCTGTGCCACCAAGGAAACCCTGCAATGGACCGTACTTGGCTGCTTTGGCTGTAGAACAGCAAACAGAAAAAAAAGAGTTATTTACTTTAACCAGAGGTACTCTTCTGGTGTACACATGCATGGCAGAGTGCAGTTTATGACTAGTGGATGTATGGTGTTATGGTGTTTGACCAGAGCTTCTATTCACCAACACAAGCAAGGACATGAAACCAAGTGGTTGCCAAACTAAATGCTAAAATGGCAGGTACAGGATAACTCGCACAAGTGAATGTTCAGTTCTTGGTGTTTTATGGCGGTTGGCAACCAACAAAATGGTGGCGCATTACTGCCACCAACTGGACTGGAGTATGGATCGGGAAGCTAACATTTAGAGTCCAGAGTTGTACAGAGTTTCTGTACAAACACCTTTCTTTTCTTTTCACTGCCGGAAAGATGTTGCCATGTCACAATTTTTGATCCAGGAAAATGTTGCGTAATTGTGAGATGTTTTGCGTTGCGGACCGATGTAGCTACTGTATTATACATTTAGTTGTAAGACTGGGTTGGAAAAACAGTCAGCTGTGGACAAGAAACATCCTGACACACCAAATTATGTTGGTTAACATATCATTGTGTGTCTGTTGATGCACAATCATGGCTAAATTGGGTTTTATGAACTGTAAAATGTGGTCAGCTAAGAAAGCAGACGCGCGTTCCTTGAAATAATCCCACCAGCAGTAATCTCCTGTGTTCGGGAAAATGCAGATTACTGTGTGTTCGACAAACTTGTTGTGCCGTGCCATCTGCACTGATAAGCGCTCACAGCACCAACCCACGCTCCACCCTTTTCCCATCTCATCCAACTAATCCTACAGGTTGCCGTCCTCTGCCAAAGAGCAGTCCATGAGTGAAATATCAGATTTTTCCATCACTGAAACAATTTATGATTCCCTCATTTTTGGGGGGTGCATGAAGAGATGTGAGAACATTTGGTTATTTGGTACCTTGTTGAGGAGTCAGTGGGGCTGGTACATATCCGCCTGTAGAACATAAAGACACAAACAAATGAGAGATGAGTTGGTGCCAGCAGACTAACACTAAGATGCAACCACTTTGGATCTGTCACCCTGGTTGATGTCCTTCTTCTGGCCAGGGTGTGGTAGGAATAAACTGTTGATATTAGAGTATCATGGAAGGCACTTAGATCTGGTGCTGAGAGGTCTGATCCAAAGATGCTCTCAATGTGTTTAAGTGACCGGATTTTTACACCAACAGTATTTCTTTCCTGTCTGCATATTTATTTGCAAACATAAAGAAATACAATCTTATTTGAAACATGGTAGAGAGAAAACTCAGTTTTGCCCAGTATAGAACAAATTTTAATAAAGTAAGCTCTGACACAGACCGCATTTATTTTGCAAAAGGGCAAAGAAAGAAAATCAATATTATTTTCATTAACACCGATATCTATAGTAATCCAATTAATCTCTCTGTAGTTATGTGCGCAGAGATGACAAATGCAGGTCGTTCAGACCCTCATGAAGGCTTCATGCTGAAACACGTTGGTCTTCTCATTAAAGTTGCTCAAAACACTACGAGTGTTGCTGGACTTAGTTCCCTCATGCAAAGGCAGCCTCGTGTATCAACAGTGAGAGTGAGAAATTATAACTAAAACTAGAATCACCGCTTTGCGGTTGTATGCTTCCACCAACTGGTCAAATTCACTGGGACAGAAGTGAGGTCACTGACCTTTGACCACAAGAATCTAATCAGTTGATCCTTGAGTCCAAGTGAGTGGACATTTGTACCAAGTTTGAAGAAATTCCCTCAAGGTGTTCTTGACATGCAGTATCTCGTTCACAAGAATTGTACAGACAGATTTAGCACTAGTACCTGGGTAGTACTGCTGGGGATAGCCACCAAAACCAGGAGGACCTGGAAAATTAAAACACGGTTAACAACGAGACTCAGTAGACGCACTGACAGGACATGGTCATATGTGTGTAAATCAACAATATGAACTGGATCATTAAATAGTTTAAAAAATATATAGATACAGATCATATAATTGTCTGTTTGGCAAACCTCACTGTTAGAACAACTGTGCTTGTAAACGGGAGTTATTAAGCCATCTGTAGCATTTCACACAGACAGACATTGTAACTCGAGACAGCAGGAGGAGGATTAGGGCTGCTGCTGTGTGATTGCACTCATTCCTGTTGATGTGATGCTGCATGTGTGCCACAATAGTTTTAACCAAATCATTTTTAGTAAGAACTAAATTCAGAGTATAAAGCAGGGGGAGGCTGAGCTGTTCCTCACCTGGCTGAAATCCACCACCAGGACCGAGATTTCCGTAACCTGTTCAAATGTATAAGCCAAAAAAAAAGTATAATGATGTACAGTAAACATGATTTATTGTCAGTTTTTTTGTTTCCACAGCTATAGTATGTTCTCTTCACCTCCTGAAGTGAAATGCAGCCAGTGGTACAGTGGCCCACTCTCCAGGGCCTGGGTTATCTTCATCTACATTATTATTAACATTAATCAGTCTCCATCAGGACATGTGTTGCTGACAAGGTCCATTCACAAACTCCTAACAGTACTGTAACAGTGCAGGGATCTTTGGTGAAGCTGGGTTTATTAGCATTTTTGGTTATATAACTGGCATGGCTGATGTTAAAGTAACTCAACTCATAGGTCCATTTTCTTTATGACTTCTCAGTCTCTCATGCAAAATAGTAAATAGATTATGCTGCACTGCAAAGGATCCTTCAGTATAATACAGTAAACTTTAGTCATTTAAGACCACATGGAATGCAATTTAATACTTTCTTTATGGAGCATGTATAAAGTGAAGAGAATTGGACCTAACACAGAGCCTTGTGGAACGCTGTGACAAACTACCCACCCAAAACTCCCACTACCCCATAGAGACTGTGTCTGCCCCCTGCCCACCTAAATTATATAAATCAAGAATCAACTCCAGAGGAGTTCATTTATAAGAACCTAATTAAAATTAAGATGACTCCTCTTATAGTAGAAAGTAACAGGACAATCAAATGTGGACTATTAAATATCAGATCTCTCTCATCTAAATCTCTGTTAGTGAATGATTTGATAAGTGAACATCACATTGACTTATTGTGTCTTACTGAACCATGGTTACAGCAGGAAGAATATGTCAGCCTAAATGAATCCACTCCACCTAGTCACAGTAACTGTCACATCCCTCGAAACACAGGCCGAGGTGGTGGCGTGGCAGCGATCTTTGACTCAAGCCTATTAATCAACTCTAGACCTAAACATAGTTATAACTCATTTGAAAGTCTCACCCTGAGTCTCTCACACCCAAACTGGAAAACTCAAAAGCCTGTTCTGTTTGTTATTGTATGCCGTCTACCTGCTCCTTATTCAGAGTTTTTAAGTGAATTCTCAGACTTTCTGTCTGATTTAGTGCTTAGTACAGATAAAATAATCATAGTAGGCGACTTTAATATTCATGTAGATGCTGACAATGACAGCCTCAACAATGCATTCTGTTCATTATTAGACTCAGTTGACTTCTCTCAAACTGTAAATAAACCCACTCACTGTTTTAATCACACTCTTGATCTTGTTCTGACATATGGCATCGAAACTGAACACTTAATAGTTTTTCCTCAAGACATGCACTCTCACTCTCACTCTCGCACTCGCACACTCTCTCGCGCTCTCACGCTATCATGGTCTCTCGCTCTCATGCACTCTCACTCACACTCTCGCGCTCTCACTCGCTCTCTCTCGCACTCGGCACACTCACACTCACACTCACACTCTCATACTCACTCTCACACTCCCACACGCACGCTCTCGATTCCGCTCCCGCTCCCACTCCCACTCCCACTTGCTCACGCTCACGCTCACGCTCTCGGTCCTGCTCCCGCTCGCGCCCGCACTCTCACTCTCCCGCTCTTGCTCTCGGGCTCGCACGCGCACGCTTACTCACACGCTCACGATCTCGGTTCTGCTCCCACGCCCACGCACACGCTCCCGGTCCAGCTCGCGCTCGCACGCTCACGCTCTCGCTCTCGGTCCCGCACCCGCACTCGCACGCTCACACTCTTGGTCCTGCTCGCGCTCTTGCTCTCACTCCCACTCTCACTCCTCCACGCGCACGCTCTCACGCCCGCACTCCCACGTGCACGCTCACGCTCTCGGTCCCGCTTCCAAGCGCACGCTCTCGGTCCTGCTCCCACTCCCACTTGCACGCCCTCTCGCACTCTCTCTCGCACTCGGCACACTCCCACTCTCACTCTCACTCTCACTCCCCCACGCGCACGCTCCCGGTCCCACTCCCGTTCGCGCTCGCTCTCGCACTCTCCCAGTCCCACTCGCACGCTCACGCTCTCGGTCCCGCTCCCACGCGCACGCTCTTGGTCCCGCTCCCACTCCCACTTGCACGCCCTCTCGCACTCTCTCTTGCACTTGGCACACTCCCACTCTCACTCTCACACTCCCACTCTCACTCCCACTCCCCCATGCGCACGCTCCCGGTCCCACTCCCGGTCGCGCTCGCTCTCGCACTCTCCCAGTCCCACTCGCACGCTCCCGCTCTCGGTCCCGCTCGCACGCGCACGCTCTCGGTCCCGCTCCCGCTCTCACTCTCTCAGTCCCGCTCCCGCTCTCGCTCTCTCAGTCCCGCTCCCGCTCTCGCTCTCTCAGTCCCGCTCCCGCTCTCGTCCCGCTCCCGCTCTCACTCTCACTCCCACTCTCACTCCCCCACGCGCACGCTCCCAGTTCCACTCGCACGCTCTCGCTCTCGGTCCCGCTCCCACACACACACTCTCGGTCCCGCTCCCACTCCCACTTGCACGACCTCTCACTCTCACTCTCACTCTCACTCCCACTCCCACACGCTCCCGGTCCCGCTCCTGTTCGCGCTCGCTCTCGCACCTGCACTCCCACGCGCACGCTCCCGGTCCCACTCGCGCTCGCCCGCTCTCACTCTCGGTCCCGCGCCCGCACTCGCTCTTGATCTCGGTCCCGCTCCCACTCCCACGCTTGCACGTTCACTCACACGCTCAAGCTCACGCTCTTGCTCCCACTCTCACGCTCTCGCACTCGCATGTTCACACTCATTCGTACTCGCATGCGCAACCTCACGCTCTCGCGAAATAATTAAATTAACATGACCTGGGTAAGTGGCAGAAACTGGGTGGTGGTTTAGCTAATTTAAAATGATGAATTTATTCAAGTTCATGCTAAAAATCGACATAGTCCATTAATTTATAAGCTAATAAGCTTCAAACTACTTGGGTTAGCAGTAGCGGCTGAATTTGCACCACGTCTAAAGACGACAGGAACAATTTATTACCTGGAGGAATTCAAAAACTATTTAATGAAAGGGAAGGGGGATACAATTTAAGGGTTCAGTTAAATTTAAAAATTCATGCTATACGCACAACCAAAAAAAAAGATTTTGTATTTCCATAAGTGGGGTAAAACTATGGAATAATTTAAGTGTGGACATTAAAAAATAGTAATAGAATTGACAAGTTTAAACATAAATATAAAGGTATCTGTCAATCAAGATATATGCAAGAACAGGCTCAATGATTAATTATATGGACAATTGTGGGTGTGGTGTACACTTTGTAATAATTCTTTAGTATATTTCTTGGAATTATGTAAGAATGTTAACACTGTCATATATATATATATATTTTTTTAGTATAATACTTGTGTGGGTAGAAGTGAATCATTTACTGCTTGCAAACCAACGATGGTAAGATGATGTCATGGGGTAGGACTGGATAAGTCTGACTTCTTCCTACTCCATTCAAGCATGTACTAGGTATAAGCAAATTGATATTGGATTATGTGTAAAATTATGTGTGTTGATACATTTGCAGATCAGATTAGATTTTAAATGTAAAAAAAAAATCCATAGATATGTTACAACACATAGAGTATACACTGGCCTGTGATGCTACCTGGTTTGGGTGGTTTAGCTCCAGCACCAACACCTCCCAGTCCGACTGCAGAGGGATACGTCAGCCCACCTGTCACAACAGACAGAAGACAGACTTGGATGTGGTGATAAAGACCCTTTAATAGTACACCTGCAGCTGTGCTGCACAGGATGGTAAGTCAGATAAAGAAAGGCTAGAAAGCCTCGGCCTTCACTAAAACAGCCACTGATTTCCCTTATCTACTCTAAGTAACCGGCTCATTCCTGACACTGCATACTCCGCCCCACCAGAAACCTAGCAGTGTGCTGGCCAATTTCCTGTACAGGAAGTGCAATGTGATGACATCTACTGACCAATGTTCCTGACCAGCTGTCACTTTGAGCACTGGACAGAACGTCTTTGTTATTTTTTGAAGTCAGGGGAACATTAGTGTTATCATCACTGCTGCCCGCCTCTTCCCCTCTTGTACATACCCTGTCCATAACCATGATGATATGGACTGTATCCCCCTGAATTGTGATGACAGAGAAAAGAAGTTTATTGTCTGGTGAGTTTTCACATTCTTACAGTTTGAGGCTGGGACTCATCCAAGAAATGCCAATAATAAAAATTTGTACAGTGACTAAAATATAATTACTTCATTAACGAACACCTTCAGTATATGTCTAGTGTCTGTAAGTTCATATGTAGTATTTCTCATGTTAAATGAAGTGTAGTTGCGTCCTAACCAAAATAACCTCCTCCTGTCAGTGGGATTCCTGCTCCACCCACAGCTACAAAAAAAGCACAACACAAAAGTGTATGAGACAACAAACATCCCATAAAAACTGAAATATACAAGAAGAAAGCAGTCTTTGGATCAACTTTGGATGGAGCGGTTTGTTTAAAGCAGGAATACCTGGAGGTTTCAAAGGCTTCGCTCCAGGCAAAGTTCCAACTCCAGTGCCGACACCTGTACCGTAAGGCAATAATGGCAATAATCAAGCAAGCAAGGAAAGAAGTAATACTCACTGTAATTTAAGCCAATTCAATAAGCATTAAATAAAAAATATAGGGATCCTGTCTCCAAGAGTTGCAGCAAATCCACCCCCAACTCCAATAGCTAAGGAGTAAACATGTTAGAAGACTGCATGTGCAAGCATACACAGAGGAGCTCCCATTATGATGAGGAATAAATGTGTTTCTATTTCTACTCTGTTAGACTGGCATTACTGACTTCTTAAAAACACTGCACTAGGAATTTAACAATTGTTTCACCAAATTAAAAGACATCTTATTACTTGGAAACCAATATTAATCTAAAAGTTTTCTTAGACCTGAAGCCACAAATTCATTAGATCTGTCATCTGATTCTGCTGAATAAATGCACATAGAGTTTAGGTGCTAGCATCATAACTACAGATTACTAGTTTGTTTTCTCCATTCAAAAATTAAACTAAACCAAATTCTAACCTGAACCCTAAAACCAAGTCTTAACCATCAACAAGGTGTTTCAGAAAGTACATCTTGGACTTTATCTTATGTCCACTGCAGGTAAAATAGTGCAGAACAGCCAAAGATACTGTAAGTACTGTGAACGTGCAGAAGCACAGAATCAATGACTTGGCAGAGAAAGGCTTGATGCAGCTTTTCCTCACAGATTAACTGCCAGATTTATCGATCCAAGTTGACTCATTAACTGTCCAGACAGGATGTGCATGCTAAGATAAATCAAGCCTGAGAGCAATCTACAGTATAACACTGAACATGATTATACTGTAAAAGGTATATTGATAACATCATTAATATATTTTGATTCTAAAATAACAAGGCTTCACAGAGCTAAGATGCTGTTTGTGATGCTTTACAAATTGCTTTACAAAAGTAATGAGTAAGATCAACGCCGAACATAATGTACAAATAAATCACATGATTCATGGTAACAACATTTATCATAATTCATCAGAATTATTAGTCATCTTTACCTGGTACCAGTGGTTTAGGTGCTTTGACACCTGGGCCACCACCTAAAAAAGGCAATACTTAGTATTATCACTCTCACAGACTGGAGAGAGAAACAACCATGGCTGTTGTGTTTGTCTCCACTGTGTGGTCAAATGTGTGTGTCGCATCCCGTTCAGTATCAGCAAAGCATGGCTTGAGCACTAAAAGCAACATGGGGTTCTTAAATGAACCAAAGTATAGATATTGGCCTACCTGCAGGCTGTTGGACTCCTGTTGCACCTAAAAGAGAGAAGAGAGTGTTACTGTGCATCTAATATCTAACATTCCCTATTGCAAAATACACAAACAGCAAACATACAACAGAAAGAGCATATTTACACTGTTGGAAAAGATCTTGTTTATATATTTATTTATTACATTTTTATTTGTTTAGGGACAAGTATATAGCATGAACCAATGCTACGCACCACAGCATTTATAGTCTAAGCTAGTTTGCAAAACCCGTCCCTAGATGGCCAAAATGATGTCAGAACTAGAAACTATGGTCTAAGAAGCAAGAAGGCTAGAAGTAAATGACAACAACATGCACCCAAATACAATGGCAAACACTGTACACAGTATTAACACTAAGAGTTGGTTTACCTAGTAATTGTATCATATTTATAAAACTCAACTGCAACTACATTAATAAAATAGATTTTTAAAATTTTGAAAATAGTGTGTAGATTTGTTTATTGTATTGTTGTGTAAACGCATTTAAATTGATGATCATTTTCTAAAGCTTAATAATGATAAAATAGATCTCCTTATTTATTGTACGCCACTTCCTTGTTTCAAAACTAATGGAGACAGTCTTTAGAGTCGTGGCTCCTACACTTTGGAACTCCCTCTGGTTGAAGGATGCCTTTAAAAAAAAACAGCTCATGGCTCGTCTTTTCTGAGAGCGATCTTAATGACCACAGACAGAAAAACAGATTGTTTACACTCACTAGGTTGACCTGGCCTGCACCAACTAAAAAGACATGCAGAGGTTACATCAGATAACATCCAGCATAAAATATGTTAACTGACAAAGGAAGGGAGCAATCTCAAATGAGCGAGAGTTAACCACATTTGGTACAAATCCAACACAATATGTGATTTGATTAATGGCACATAATCAATACAAGTGCGAAAGAAACTGCTCTTACCATCAAGGGGTGGTCCAACACCTGTTCCACCTTTGACACATGCATCAAGTCACTTAAAGCTCTGTCACATATCAAATGTCTAAATAAATAATAGACTGTTGAGTATTAAAAAAACTTATTTCACATATTTACCAATACTTGTGCCAGCTGTAAAATAAAAACAGGATCATAAAGTCAAGCTATGTACAATTTGTCATAGTACCATATAAGTAAAAAAACAAGTTGATATGTACTACTCACCACTAGGCTGAATAATTCCACCAGCAACTGTCAAAACAGGCAGGAATAAAACAAATACAATTAGAACATGTTGAGACAAAACACATAATTAAATGAAGCAGCTGATATATGTGCACTCAGTTTGAACCTACCGCCTGCTTTGACACATCCACCACAAGAGTGCAAAATGGAAAAAAGAATAAAAATGGCAAAATTAGTCAAAAGAATAAAATGTTTACTTACTTGATTTGTTTGGTTTTATTACATTAATACTAATGAAATATACTAAACAGTTGCTGTTAATGATGAAACTGTTGGTCTTGAATGTTGGAAAAGGAAGGGGATAACTAAGAAGAATTAAATGCAAGACATACTTATTTCAAAATAACATTTAACATGAGGAGAACACTGTGTCAAGACGACTGAAAAGTAACATTCTATAGCAGAGGTATCACAGATCTTATAGAGTGCCATAAGAATTTTTAGGTCCCTTCATTTTTTGCACATGTTATTGTGTTTCAGACAGAATTTTAAATGGGTGCAACTCTGAACTTGAATCTACACTCAGTAACCCATAATGACAAAGCAAACTTTGGGTCACTCCACACGTTCTCTGGGGTTTTAGTTTGGGTCTTATGCTGAAGACACTCCACTGTCTTGGCTGTGTTTCAGGTCACTGTCATGCTGAAAGGTGAACTGTCACCACAGTCTCAGGTCCCTGTACTCTGGGGCAGGTTTGGCTGCATTCATCCTACTCTCAGTTCTGACCAGTCTCCATGTCCTTGCTGCTGAGAAGTTCCCCATAGCATTGATGCTGCCACCACTATGCCTCACTGTAGGGATGGTAGTAGTTAGGTAATGAATGAGCAGTGTGGCTGGTGTTCACCAGACATAGTACCTGGAGTTCTGCCCAACTATTGCTGTTGCTACTGGATACCTGAATTTCACTCAGGATCAATAACGTATCAATCTATGCTCTAAAAGTCCTTTGATTGCAGTTTATCAGACTCAAGGCGCCCATTCCCAATCCACTCCATTTAGCTTAGCCTTAAACCTCAGTTTTGCATGCTGATGTGTAGGCGCTAGGGCAAAATTCCCTTTGTTGTATTTAGCCCTTTAGGTTAAGTACAACCAAAGTTATTTGCTGTCAATGTTCCTTCAAACATGTTCACCGACATTCCCTGGTATCAGAGGCATGTTCTTTTCCTTGAATCTCCTTATTTACTGCCTATAGCCTATGTAAGCAAAATCTCCACAGCTGAGAAAGATTCAAAATTTCTGACAACTTGCCACACCTGTGTATCTGATCACTGTTGTTAACTACTGATGATGTATAGGGGTCTAGAAAGGGTGTCCCATTATATAAGGGGATATTTCAATCAGCATCTTTTAGCTCTGTTTTGAGGGGTAGGTGTAAAAAATAAGAAATGTGATTAAGCACAATAAAATGTGTAAGAGGTGAAGGGATCTGAATACTTTCTGAAGTGACTGGACGTACCCAACGATTTAAAACTGTAGATAAAATGTCAGTATTATCATTTCATGGCACTGATTTTCCAACACATGTGAAAAGTATTCATATTGTCAAAGCAAACAAGTAAAATCTGAGAGCCGTGACCTTCCATGTATCGCTACCTTCTCAATGTCTTTTCACTTACATCTATGATATGCATGAATGTAATTTATCAAGCACAATAAGCTGTTAGTACAAAAGAAAGGAGTGCACAAGACAATACCGCTGTTGAGAAACAGCGCCAATCTGTGGCGACAAATGAAATAAGAATGGGGGAATGTCATGGGCCATACCACAGATTATGGTCATGCAAAATGCAGGTCTTACTGGGCTGTGGGACCCCTGGGGCCTTACCAATTGCAGCAATAGGTGTGGGCCCTGCCAAAAGACAATAGGTTGCAGTTTCATCCATGTATTTTAAGCAGCCTCAGAGTGAGAGAGACCAGAAACAGCAGAAGCTAGAAGGTGGACCTTGATACTGCCATAGCTGTGAGGCTGTAAGCTAAAGGCAGTCAATAGCTGGTAGCACTTGTGATTGTTATGGAAATATGAACAAGTCAAGAACACAAGATCTGCCTTTTGTGGTGTTTAATTGTAAAGCTTTCATGAAATCACTCAGTGCATACAGAAAGCAAAAGGTCTCTGCGGGCAAAGAGCAAAGTCTGGCATATGCACTCATTAGTTATAATTTTTTTATGAAGAATGTAGACAGCAAGATATCATTGTGTGAGGAACACTGTGGTCTGTATACCCTCTGCCATATACTGATATCAGGTCACCAGACGAGCAACATATGGAGGAATACGTATATGGCCAACACAAAAATATAAACTCACCTCTCTCTGCTGTGAGTCTGGACAATAGTTTAATGGTTAAACATGATAAACATGATACTGGTTACTGTTTAACCACTATCAAACATGAAAAGCATATTTTGATTGACATTACATTTGATTTAAACATGATTTGGTAAAATTTCTACCATTTCCTCCACACAATACAAACGACATGAGTTTAGTGGGCAGGAAATGGGCAAAAAAATGTAGAGAGGATCAGTGATGGCACAGAACTGGTGCAGTCAATCCAAGGTGGTGCCAAAAGTAATATGGCATGATGCGTTACCTGTCTCTGTATCAGAGCCTGCTAATCCAGGTCGGGTAGTTGGTTGTGTAAAGTACTGTAATGTAATGTACTGTGCCAGCTTGTGACTCATGCATTACATACACTCACAGAGGCAATCTTCCATGAACACGCGAAATTGAGACTTGCCGAACGTTTTAAACCTGTGCCATCATTTCATAACACTCATCCAAATTCTGAATATATTTCCTGAATCTTCAGAGACTCGTCTAACGATGCACAATCAAAAACAATCCAGTGGAGTCTGGCAAAACTATGATTTTAATCAGTGTCTCTGGTCACACAGTTTCTTGTCAGTTAACCAAAGATAGCGACACTTTTATGAAAGTTCAGTATGAATGTATTAATGAAATCTATTATATTAGAGTTACTATTGTATTACTGAATTCATTATTGAAAATTAAGTGAAATTATTACTGAATTTTTTAAATGATATATGAAGAACCACTTTCACACAAAGCCTGTGTGACAACATCATGTCCTGTCGCCATTGTTTTATTATATGAGAATGATAAGACATAAACAGGAAACAATTAAAATCATATTTTTCCTTGACTGGACCATATTATTTTTGATTCTGCATTGTTGTTTTAAAAGAGCCTATGAGGATATGGGAAATACCTTCAGAATTTGGGTGGCTGTTATGAAAAGACGGTACGGGCTTAAAACAGTCATCAAGTCTCAATTGCACACATTCACATTATGTGACTCAAGTATATGTAATACTGCACACAAAAGTCACAAGCTGGAGCTATCCTCCCACATGCTGTACATAATTACACAACACAGGACGAGCATTTCA